GTACGGGTGTGATATGGATCAAAATTGATAACAAACAAAGTCTTTGAAGGTCTAGTATTGACTGAAGACCTTCTTGAAGAACCTCCACTAGGCCTTCTAATGCCTCCACGTTCATGCTACAACACAAAAGAAAAGAGCTTATGTAAGATATAAAATCTGAAAAGGAGAATACTAACAAGAACTACATACAAACTACCAGTAGAATGATTACCTTTGTCCACTCAACACGAAGTCTGCGACCCTTCCTACCAAATTCCGTCCGATCAAGTGCTCGGATGGCATCCTCAGCATCCCTCTCATCTTCCATGTATACAAAAGCAAATCCTAGAAAACACAGTATTGCATGGCTTACTATGACACTCATAAATATTATATAAAAGAAAAAGGAAAAGGTAAGAATCCTCCCGCAAAAGGAATATCCAACAAGATTCAGCATTTTCCCCTTCAGCAAGATACAGTTCACCAAAAAACCTACCTCTAAAATAGTTTTTATTAATATTTGTTTGTACTATATACTTAAGATAAAATTAATAACTACATCTACATATTAGAAATTAATATAGAATAGAATATTTTCTCATTAGCTACTATAATTCAAGTTTGAATAATTTCGATATCTTATCTACCATGAATTATATCTATATAAAAATAGTTCTTATTAATTTTATTTGTTCTTATTACCCAAATTGTATCTCTCTCATTAAGGAATGCTCAGGGCGTATGACTTGGCAGCTGTGGCACTGGAAGAAGATGATGAGAGTGATTCATTGGTTCTAAAAATCTCTGAGCGAGGCAGGGGCCATGTTGTTGGTTTAGTGACAAATCATTTGGTGTGTGATATCAGCAACATGGAGGTCCATCTCATCCTTTTTCCTAGTTTTTGTAAGGCATTCCATCATCTCTGCCTAGAGTCCTGCTTTATCACACGTGAAACTATTAAAGTATAAGATGTAGGCTCATAAATTTTTATGAGGAAAACAAAGGGGAAATGATAGAAAAGGAAGAATGCCAG